TTCGCCGAGGCTCCGCCGAGCACCGGCCCTTCGCCCCTCAGTATCCTCGCCAGACTAGACTGCTGGCGAGTTCAGCTCTCCAAATTGAATCACAGGAGAGCCCTCGGCCTCCGGGAGGCCCCCCATTTTCTGTTTCGGGCTCCACTCTGTCACGGAGCCGCCCCAGGTAGGTCCGCCATGTTGCGCACCGGAAATTGAAGTCTAATAAGTGTAATAAGTGTAATAATAAGTCTAATAAGTGTAATAAGTGATGTCCCAAAAATGCTTTTTTCATGAAGCAACTGAACTTCCTTGTTTTTTCTTTGACGACGTTTCACTTCTCATCCAAGAAGCTTCTTCAGCTCTGACTGGATGGTGGACAATGGAAAGATTTATACTCCTTGCAGACAGCTGTTCATTTGCATCCTTTTAGCGAGTTGCTAATGCTACCTGGAGGCTTATCTGTGTCCTCAGGGTTATCTGAGTGGTGCAAATGTGTGTGGAGCCTGTTGAAAGGACTGTATTGTAGACTGGATATGGCTGCTGTTGTTACAAAGCTGTGAGCCATGTGAAGATCTGTACATTGGGGAAACAAAACAACAAATTCATAAATGTATAGCACAACATAGGAGAACAAACCCATCAGGACCAGATACAGTAGTCCATCTGCATTTAAAAGACAAAGGCCACTCTTTTGAAGACAGCAAAGTTCACATTTTGGACAGAGAGGACCACTGGTTTGAAAGAGGGGTCAAAGAGGCCATCTATGTCAAAACTAAATAGCCCTCTCTCAACAGAGGGGGAGGGATACAACATCTATCTCCAGTCTACAACACAGTCCTTTCAACAGTTGCAAGAATGCTCCACACACATTTGCACCACTCAGGTGACCCTGAGGACACAGATAAGCCTCTAGGTAGCATTAACAACTCACTAAAAGAATGAAAATGAACAGCTGTCTGCAAGGAGTATACATTTTTCCATTCCCCACCATCCAGTCAGAGCTGAAGAAGCTTCTTGGATGAGAAGTGAAACGTCTTCAAAGAAAAAACCAAGAAAGTTCAGTTGCCTCGTGAAAAAAGCATCTTTGGGATAACTATGACCTGGATGACTGAGAATCTCCATAGACATAATAAGTAATGTGTTTTGTGAAAAGGCTGTAAATGTGAAGGAAATTCTAAGGGTCACTGTCATGTCACATTTTTCCTTTACCTAGCTTTGAATTCAAGGATGCATCTCCATTTGATGGATCACCTAACCATGTAGGCTTAATCCATCACATGCTCGTAGCCATGTTATAAATCTTGCTTTCAAGTCCTATTTGCATGAGTAGAAATGCAGCCCTGCTTTGAAGTTCTGGCATGAATTCATTCATTCCCTCTTCTGTGCATGGTTTTTGTTGCAGCTGACCAGAGAGTTTTTTACCAAGGAACTGAAAAAGCATTATCAGGGGAACAATGAATCAGATGTCTTTTCTTCCACCTGGAACTCAGTCATGATCACAGTAAGTACTTGATTGTTTAATGCATCCTGATATGGATTTTTTTTTAAATCTTAATTACCGAGCAGAGTCAAGACTGGCTCATGCTTGCCTGGTACCAGGAAATCCCAGATTGTAGACTAGATTATATTGGGAAATCCTGCCTACCAAAAAAAAAAAAAAAAAAATCAATGGCAAGCAACTTAGGAAGTTTTGCCAAGAAAACCATAGACATGAGATTACTAGGAGCTGAACTTGAGTCAAAGGTAAACAATTGCCACTCATTTTATATAAAAACAGTGGCTGGCAGTTGTACAAAAGGTGAAAACACAATTAACTTTGACCGCATAGGTAAGAAAAGCAAAAGAGAGAAAAAAGTAGAAGGCTCATCATCCTAGCAGTATAAATGCTTCTATTCAGATTCTATAGGATTTTCACTCTGGGAATTAAGATTTTAAGATTATAGAGCCATGGTGGCGCAGTAGTTAGAATGTAGTTTTGCAGGCTAATTCTGCCAACAGCCAGCAGTTCGATTCTGACCGGCTCAAGGTTGACTCAGCCTTCCATCCTTTTGAAGTCGATAAAATGAGGACCCAGATATGCCCACTCTGTAAACGCCTTAGAGAGGGCGGTAAAGCACTTTGGAGCAGTATATAAGTCTAAGTGCTATTGATATTACAGCACCAGAACACAATTTTGCATCTCTGTGTTCAGAAATTAAACGGTGAGACTTTCTTCCAATTAGGTGTGAGTAGCCCAAAGAGAAGTCTTTCTAATGTGCCAAGTGTTCTAACCATAAGAGAATGGCAGAAAAACTGAGCAGGTGACAACTGCAAATTTCTACCCTTTTCTTGACACCATTTATAGGCCTGGCACTCAAACAACCAGCTATTTGTCTTTATCTATTGGCTGGGCTGCATTCCTCTAGTTTGGGGATCTGCAAGGAATAAGTTTGAGGCACCTCCTGCTTCTTAGTGATGGAAGCCTTTTTTCAACATAAGTAAAGCAAAAACTGAAAGCAAGTCTGCCAGATATTGAAGGAGCAAAATAAATCTCTGTGGGATATGTGTGTGAAAGACCAGCAACAATGTTTTTTCCCAAGTAGCTTTTCTAGTGCCCATTTTGTTGTCTGTTCATTGCAAAACAAAACAAAACAAAAAAATTACGGTAATTTATTTTTATTTTATTTTATTTTTTTATTTTATATTTGGATTTATATCCCGCCCTTCTCCCGTAGGACTCAGGGCGGCTGACAATCAATTAAAAACATAAATAACAGTACAAATTTAAAATTAATTAAAAAGAATATTTAAATATTTGTCAAATTTAAAATATAATTAAAACCCCTCTAAAAATTACCCTAGGCCAGTCCTGCAAGCTGGAACAGCCAAGTCTTGAGGGCGCGGCGAAAGGAAGGGAGATCAGGGATAACCCTGATCTCTGGGGGCAGTTCATTCCAGAGGGTGGGAGCTCCCACAGAGAAGGCCCTCC